CCCCGCCCCAGTCCCCACTCCACGCCCAGAGTCAGGGAGAGAGCCCTGGAGTCCTGGCTGCCAGCCCCGGTCTCTCTGCGGCGTCCAGCGGGTTAGAGCAGGGGGGCAGGACTCCCGCGTTCTCTCCCAGCTGGGGAAATGGGGATGGGGGCGCCGCGTGGACACAAAATCTACTTTCACCCGCCAAGCAAATGGTCCAGTCCTAGGACCCGGGCAGCTCCCCCGGCCCAAAGTGCCAGGAACTCGAGGTGCTTCCACCCCCCTTAAACCCAGCGTTTGTCCTGGCACCGGGCTGAGCAGCGCCGCATGGGGCTGGCTGGGGAGAGGGGAGCCAGCTAAGGGCAGGCTCATGGCACCTCGCACCCCCTGGTGGCCGAAAGGTGGTAACCTCCACCCAGCTGTTCAGGGGGAGTCCCCTTCCATTCAGTGCTAAACACCCAGCCCCGCTGCATGGAGAAGGGAAACTGAGGCACCAGGCGTGTATGGCAAGACCCCGGATAGAACCCAGGATCCTCACTCCCAGCCTCCTGCTCTAACCACCAGCCCCCACTTCCCTCCTAGAGCCAGGGAGAGAACCCAGCTCCCCTGACCTATGTGCTCTGATCTCACATTTCAACCCGCTCACTTCCAGGAGCCTGATCACACTGCTTTCCAGCCATCCCTGCAGGCGCGGTGACCTGCCCCCAGGCTGTAGCAGGGTTGAATCTGGCCCCTTTGACTCCAGCTCACCCTGCTGCACCTGCCATGTCTCATTCCCAAACTGCCCCTCCAGCCACTGCCAGGCCCCAGTACGGCCCTAGAGTGAAGACCCCCCTTTCTGTCTGGGCCAGGCTCTGGGGAACAGGCCCCAGTGCAGCCCACACCAGAGGACGAGGGACAGTCTTGGTTGCGGCAGCTCCCGCAGGGCGAGGTGGGAGGCGCGCTCTGTTGGGACAGCCAGGGACACTGTGTGCTGCGTGGCAAATCAGCAGAGGCCCCTGGCACATGCCCCCCTCCCTGCTGGCCACAGCACACCAGTCCCCCGGTATCACCAGCCATTCCTCTTGGCCGGTAGCCAGCGCCGGATGTGGGACGTGGGCTGGGCAGCGCTGTCTCCGGCGGCACGGTTGGAAAGAGGCTGGCGCGTTGCACAATCCCCATCCAAACAGACTGAGAGCTCAAGGCTCCGTGAAGCTGTCACAGACTCACAGGTCCTGCCCACACTTGGCCCGTATGGTCCCCGGGGAAATGCCTTTAGCACAACAACCCCTTCTCAGAGGTCCACTCTCTCGCACCCCTCCACCTCCTGGGACCGCACCTCTCTGTGCCCCCAGGGCACCTGGCTCTGCCATGGGCTCCCTCGGGGAGTCCATTCGCTCTAGGCCCCCAGGGCCTGTACTCCCGGAGGGACGAGTGCAGCCCAGTTCTCCAGACCAGAGCGACTCTCAGCCAGTGTAAACCAGGAGGGTTTATTGAGCATTGAACCAGCATGTCTGAGTCTCCCCTGCAGCCAGGGTCTGCCTGCTCCCCCTGCCCAGTGCAGCAGCCCCCTCCTTCCAGCTGAGTCTCCAGTATGCCCCTCGAGCAGCTTCTCCCCTGGCCCCTTTCTTCTCCACCTCCTCCATCATTTGTTCTCCCTTGGCTGGGACCAGCTGGGCAGGTCACCGGGGTCCTCTCTCCACAGGCCCCTTGGCCTCCCATTGGCCAGACCCAGATATGCCCTCTGAGCTGGGTCTTTTGGTCACCAGGTCACCAGTTGCTGGGGGTCTCCATTCTCCAGGTCACTGACCAGGGCCCCAGTTCTGTGCTGGCCCCTGTATCAACAAACTGCCTCTCTCCTGCCCTCGTTAAACCAGTAACTCCCAGGGGGGACCCCCCCCCCCCCCCGCCCACGCATGGAACCCCTTTGATTTCCCTTCAGCTCTCCCCCTTCCTCGCAGAAGCATGTCACCATAAGGTTTGGCTGAAGGTGCAAGTCTCCTGATCGTAAAAAGCTGATCAGCTCTCTCCCTCCTCACCCCCATCCATTTCTCCTCTGAATCTGGCTCCAGGCTTCCCCATCACCCTGGGACATTCCTGTCTGGGGGGTTTACCCAAACAGTGCCATGTGCTGC